TTTCTGTAGAGATAACCCTGACTCCCTCAGGTCTGTCAGGTCCAGTGTTTGGGGGCAGTTAGCCCCGCTGGGAAGAGCTCTGTGTCCAGGAGAACAAGGAAAGAGTTCCACCCTGGGGTAGACAGGCAGCTCTAACCCAGTGGTTCTCAACCTTCCTAATGCCGCGACCCTGTAATACAGTTCCTCATGTTGTGGTGACCCCCAACCATAAAATTATTTTCGTTGCTACTTCATAACTGTAATTTTGCTACTGTTATGAATTGTAATGTAAATATCTGATATGCAGGATGTATTTTCATTGTTACAAATTGAACATAATTAAAGCATAGTGATTAATCACAAAAACAATATGTAATTATATATGTGTTTTCCGATGGTCTTAGGCGACCCCTGTGAAAGGGTCGTTTGACCCCCAAAGGGGTCACGACCCACAGGTTGAGAACCGCTGCTCTATTATCTCCCTACCCCCTTAACTGATGTGAATAACTGGTCACAGGAGGAGCCAGGCTGGACAGAGGGGATGGAGAGGATGAAATCTGCCCCCTTTCTGTGCTGCGTGTGGGACATAAGCACTGTCCTGGCCTAGCCTCTCTTACTGTTGCAAGGTTTCTGTCCTAGACACCCCTTCTCCAGGTACCTATGAGGCCCTCACCCTCACCTTGTCCTCATCCCTGCGCAATGTCATCTGCTCTAAAAGAGCCACCCCAAGCCCCCACCCCATCACTCTTTCCTCTCACCCAGCTTTATTTTTTTTTAATATATTTTATTGATTTTTTACAGAGAGGAAGGGAGAGAGATAGAGAGCCAGAAACATCAATGAGAGAGAAACATCGATCAGCTGCCTCCTGCACATCCCCCACTGGGGATGTGCCCGTAACCCAGGTACATGCCCTTGACCGGAATCGAATCTGGGACCTTTCAGTCCGCAGGCCGACGCCCTATCCACTGAGCCAAACCGGTTTCGGCTCACCCAGCTTTATTTTCCTTTAGCAGTTACCACTGCCTCACATTATGGATTTAGTTATTCACTGTCTGCCTTCCTCATTAGAATGTGAACTCCTTGCCGCCAGGGATTTCATCTGGTTCACCAATACACACCCAATGTCTGAAACATAGGTGCTCCATAAATATATTTTTTAATTAAATTTTTTTTATTAATCCTCACCTGAGGATATTTTTACATTGATTTTTCTTTTTGAGAGAGAAAGTGGAAGGGAGAGGGAGAGACAGAGAGAGAAACATTGATGTGAGAGAGACACATCAATTGGTTGCCTCCCACACACACCCTGACCTGGGCCGGGGGATGGGGGGGCGGGTGTCAAGCCTGCAATGGAGGTATGTGTCCTTGACAGGAATCAAATCTGCGACCTTTCAATCTATGGGCTGATGCTCTATCCACTGAGCCAAATTGGCTAAGGCTCAATAACTATTTTTTTATTGAATTCATTTTGAAAGGAAAACTTGTTATAATTCAGAGGAGAACCAATGTACTGAGGGAGCCATATAGCACACTTCCATTTTTGCTCATAACATTTCTTAATTTGTATCCATCCTCTTTTATGTAAACCACAAGATGAAATAAATGAGAGAAATTATAGCTATGTCCTAAGCATCTTGGAAAGGAAAACCTGTTTCTTCTATTCCTTACAATCCAGAATGGTTTAATCTTCCTTCATAGCGTTCCTGGAAGTTTTCTCCCTCTCTGTCTCATCATTAGAGTTCAATGGTTAAAAAATAGCCCTAGCCAGTTTGGCTCAGTTGATAGAGTGTTGGCCTGCAGACTAAAGGGTCCCAGGTTCGATTCCAGTCAAGGGCACATGCCCGGGTTGTGGGCTCGATCCCCAGTAGGGGGTGTGTAAGAGGCAGACGATCAATGATTCTTTTTCATCATTGATGTTTCTATCGCTCCCTCCCTCTCCCTTCCTCTCTGAAATCAATAAAAATATATTTTAAAAAATGACATCAAACAGACCCTCAAACCTCAGAGGGATGGCAGCGGAGGGCGAGGGTTGGGGTAAGAGATCAACCAAAGGATTTGTATGCATGCATATAAGCATAACCAATGGATACAGACAATAGGGGGGTGAAGGCCTGTGCTGAGGGGCAGGGGAGGGCTAGGAGAGATCAATGGGGGGGGGGAAGAGACATATGTAATACTTTCAACACTATAAAATTTTAAAAATAATAATGACAGGAGGGAACGGAGGTGAACTGGTAAAGATACAGACAACCCAACTGAGGTTACAACTGGCCACAGAACATTCCCTGGTACTCTCCACCATCCTAACAAAGAGATTTCTTTCGCCCCTAACAAAGAAGAGCTCAGAGTTTTGTATTGCAAGAACATTCCTGTTCACCCTGAAACTTTGGGTAAAAAACAAATTTACAAAGGAATAAACCAAGGAACAAAAAATGGCAAAAGAGAGTCTCCTTACTCCTGAGTCCTACCCCAGATGGTGAGATAGTGAGTGAGGTAATATTAGTTTGGACCAAAGAACACAGGGTGACTCAGCTACATTCCAGAGAATGGCATTTCCTGAGTACAAGTGCTTCCTAGGACCAGGCAATAGAGGCCTTATCAGACCAACTAGAGAAGAGGAACTTATGTCCCCAACCTCACCCCATCCAAATCATACATTCCAAAGTCTTCATTCTACACCACAGGCACGTTTAGTCTTCCCTGGAATCAAGTCTACAGACCTAAGTGCACTTGAGTCCTGAGACATCTTGTCTATGTTATTAAGCTGCCCAAGACAACCCTGCTAAGTGCCTAGAGTCATCTCACTCTTGTTCATTGATAGCATTACTCCTCTGAAAATCCTATATAATAAAACCCTACTACAGACAACCCAACTGAGGTTACAACTGGCCACAGAACATTCCCTGGTACTCTCCAAAGGGAATGCAAATCGACCAAAGGGCAGAACGACCAGCAGAATGACTGGTTGCTATGACACGCACTGACCACCAGGGGGCAGACACTCAATGCAAGAGCTGCCCCCGGGTGGTCAGTGCGCTCGCGCAGGGGGTGCGCCGCTCGGCCAGAAGCCAGACTTAAGGCTGGTGAGTGCAGCAGCGGTGGTGGGAGCCTCTCCCACCTCCGAGGCAGCAGCAGTGCTAAGGAGCAGTGAGCTGAATGGTAAGGAGCAGCGAGCAGGCAGCTGGTAAGGAATGAGGGGTCCCAGACTGTAAGAGGGCACAGGTCAGGCTGCGGGATCCCCCCCACCACCAGTGCACTGATTTTGTGCACTGGGCCTCTAGTTGAATTAATAAAGGACTCTTGAAGATGTTGAAGAATTTTCAAACCTAAGGAATGAATTGCTGAGAATAAAGTTGGAGGAGACACGGTTCAGTGTTGGGGCCCGCCCAGCATCCCAGTATGCAGGTCACTCACTGACTTGTTAGTGCATACAGTTAATCCCAGGGAATCAACCACCAGAAACCAGCACAACGTGTCAGTAGATCCTTTTCAACCTTTATCCCAGGCAAATGTGTGGGTCAGACACAACCCACAGCACACAGCTGGTTTCCTCAACTGTAAATGGGGTTCATGATACAGTTCTTCCTCATACTATTATAGTGGTTGTGAAAGTGCCTCAAAGAGGCTTGGTTCATAGAAAACCAGAGGATACCTGGTTTGTCTGAATGTGCACTTGCCTTGGTGGTGTTTGGACCAGACCATGTCCCTAGGGAGCAGGGCTCTGGTGGGTACTCATGCTGTGAGTGTCCACCACATGCGAGCAGGTGCTTGACCAAAGCATTTTGATGATGGTGAAGACAAAAGGCCAGAGAGAAAAATCTGAAGACAGATGAGCTAGCACTATAAAAAAATCTGATACTAGTTATGGGTGAGGAAGTGGAGCCCCAGGACACTCCATACACTGCTGACTGAAGTAAACACTTATATAAATATTTTGGAGGGTGATTTGGCAGTATGCATAAATGGGGAAGCAATTCCACTCTTAGGTATATATTCTAGAGAAATGCTTATACATGTCCCCAGGAAAAATGTGCAAAAACGTTCATAGCAGCATTGGTTGAAAAAAAAAAAAAAAAGGAAAAAGAAAACCTAGATTTTCTAAATATGACGTTTATATAGAGGAATACTACACAGCTGTTAAAGTGAATGAACCAGAGCAATGTGTATCTCATGGATGAATCTCACTAGTAAAATATTGAGCAAAAAAAGACAAGTTGCCGAAGAATATATGCAATGGGTCAGGCAAAACTAAATGCTGTATTGCTCAGGATACATACACAGTTATATATATAAAGAATATAAAGACAAGTGTGGGAACTGCAAACACCAAATTCAGGAAGGATGTCGTACAGGAAGAAGGAAAAGTATAAGCGGAACTTCAGCTATATTTGTAGCGTTTTTTAAAAGGAGGTCCACAAGTAAGGCGTATCAGTTCTTCTTTATAACTTTCTGCTTATTTGAATTATGACATTAAAAAAAAAAAAAGGCCAGGACTGGAGGAGCCTTACATAAAACAGAGGGAGAAGCTGGGCCGACTTGTGAGAAGATTCAGAGTTGCTCTTGCCACCCCTGGAGCCCAGACCTCAGACCCCAGACCCCAGACCCCAGAGTAATGGAAACTGATGAGCCACACTGAAAGGCTGAGCCCAGAAAGGTCTCCTGTTGAGGGGAGGGAAGGAAGGAAGGACATTTTGATGCTGCCCCCTCTGGTTCTGAACCTAGTTCTTGGCCTGCACCCCAACCCCTGGGCTGCAAGAACCCCAGGTGGAGGAGATGGGGGTAGAGGGTGGGGGAGGGCTGCAGAGCATTCCAGTACCCAGGCCCATGGATGCACATGCCTGCATGTCTCACTCACACCAAACACACCCATGCAGGCTGCCACCCCCACTCACACACTGCCTTTCAAACAACCTGGATTGGCCACCCGGACATCCACAGCACCTTTGCAGCCCTTCACGCATGCACACACACCCCTTCCACCGCCCACCCTGGCCAGAACCCCAGAACTGGAGCTGCTGCAGAGCCGCCGGTGGCAGGCCCCCAGCGACCTCTACAGCGCTGCGTTTTTCCAGCAGTCTCACTCCCTCTACCGTATTCTCTGGGAATTGGTGTCTGACGCGGCTGCTCTGCACATTATTTATTTATTTCCTCTTCCTCCCGCCCAGACCCTCCTGTCAGGAGAGCTGCAGCCCAGACGGAGACAGGCAGGAAGCTACCGGGACACAGGAGGCAGAGGACAGAAGGAGGACCTCTCAGAAGCCCCCACCCAGTACATCAAGCTCATCAAGTCTCCAGGTGGCCATGAGCACCAGGCAGGAGACCAGAAGAGAGGGGGGAGACTCCAGCAGGCGGGGACAGGGGGCAGAGCTTCGGGACCGAGCCCACCTGAGCCAGCAGCGCCGGCTCAAACAGGCCACCCAGTTCCTGCACAAGGACTCCGCCGACCTGCTGCCCCTGGACAGCCTCAAGAGGCTGGGCACCTCCAAGGACTTGGTGAGGAAGCCCTCTCCCCTTCCACAGACCCCCCCAGAAGACCTCTGGCCCTTCCTCTCCACCTCTCCACCCCCTATCCTGAGGGTGGGAGTGATGACATTTAACTGGGGATCCTAAGCCTTCATATTCCCCTCCCTCTCTGAGTTGGGAACAGGCAGTCCTGCCAACTTGAGGGGCTCCCTCTGATCATTCTCAGCTCTTCATCGGGAATATTCCCATGACTTGTGGCTCCGCGGGACCCGATTCTCATGGCTCAGCTTTCCCCCCCAAACCCAAGGCTTATCTTGGAGTGAGCTCTGCTGTTCGGGAGTAGAGGTTTCCAGGGGCACGGAGCCTCTGGAGCAGTTGATTACAGCAGGAGGGCCTGGAGGATTGGCCAGTTTAGGGTTATGCTTTCCTTCCTCTCCCTAAACCAGAGTCCCTCATACCAGCTCTGGCCACTCATTTGCTTTCTCCCCTCAGAATGAAGCATTAAAGCCCTCCATCCTTGCCAAATCACCAGGATTTCTAATGGCGCCTGCCAGGCCACCTGGCCTCCTGAGGGCCCCCTTCCTCCCTCTGAGCCTCCCTCCAGGCTCCTCCTTTCCTCCCATCTTCCTGCAGCAGCTTTGGCCTCCAGAGGGAATGGCGGGGGTGGGGGGGGGTGGGGTGGGGGGTAACCGTGGGAGGTGAGTGGTCAGGGGACCTGCATGTGTGCATTCCCCTCAGAGAGAGTGGTGAGGGGCATGGGCTTTGAAGCCACGCTGCTTAGATCCAGATTCTGCTCTGCTCCTTGGGCAAGTTACTTTATGTCTCTGCCTCAGTTTCTTCACCTATTAAATGAGGATAAAATTAATAGTACCTACCTCATAGGGTTGTTGCAAGAGTTAACAGCTGATACCCATAAAAGACTCAGAACAGTACCTGAGTGAGAGAAAGCAATATGTACCAGTAATTGCTAATTATTATTATTCCTTCAGCTACTATTTATTCCACTCAGCCTGGGAGAAAGGAAGCTCTGTAGGAGCCAGAGAACCTGGCATCATATTTGGCCTCTTGGTCATAAAAGAAAGGAAGGCTTTAGTACAAAGGTTTGGGAGCACTCTGTTCACTCTCCCGTCTCCGTCTCGAGTCAGAGGGTCTGAGAGGAGGGTGGGTACTCCTGCAACCTGAGAGGCGCAAAGGCATTTCTGGGGGCCTCAGGCCATTCCGGCAGCTCCGACTTTCCATATGCCTCCCAGCCAAATGTTCCCCCTCCAGAACCTTGCCCAGAGGCCAGCAACCCCCTAGCCCCACCCAGCAGCCCCCCAAAAGGAAAATTGATCCGATTAAGATTTCAATTGAGAGAACCACCTCTTCGCAAGCATAGCAAGCACAGCTGAGAAACGACAGACAGTGAAGCAGGTTCTTTGCTCCCAGTGGCTAGGACCTTTCGGCCTCTACCCTTTGGGGACCATCGATTTGGCCCTGGAGAAGGGCCATCCCCATGGGAAAGGTGGGAGGAGAGCTGGGAACCGCAGAGCTCCTCTTTCTGGCCAGTCCCAGAGCTCGCTGCCCTTTTCCCAGAGTTGGGTCTCCTGTTGGCAGCCTTGCTGGCGGGAGCAGCCTCAAGGGCCTCATTAGGCCATGGGTGGAAAAACAATCCCAGGCTCCCAAGGAGAGAGGGCAGGTGGAGAAGCATGTGTGGAGCCTGGAAGGAGACTGTATTCTTCAGCAAGTATATGCTGGGCTAAGCCCAGCAAAACAGGAAAATGAATGAGATACAGACCTGACCTCAAGCACTCTCCAAGTTAATGGGAGAGTGAAATTCACAAAGAACATCTGTGAGAAGCATGACAAAGGGGACTACCCCGCCTTGTGTGTGGAGGGAAGAGCACAAAGAGGTGAGAGAGAGCTCCCTGGAGAAGGTAAACCTGTACTAATTACCAGATGCCCATGGAACCCCAGACATCTCTCCTGAATAGTTTAGTTCTTGAGCAAAGTGTGTTGAGCTAGTCATCCAGGCCCCGGAATAGGGGAGAGCAGAAGCCAAGGCCCGGGGGTGGGAAACAGCCTGTGCAAGCAGTATAAGCAGGGTGGCTGGGGCAGATGAGCCGAGTGGGGTGGGGTGGGGTGGGGTGGGAAGGGTGAGATGAGGTAGAGTCGGACAGTGACCAGGTCATCTGGGCTGTGGATCTCCTTAGAAAGTTTGATTGAGCTCTACCATGTAAGCAATGGGGACGGGGGTGCTTTGATGAATTTTGAAAAGAGTAACATGTTTAGTTTTGTTTCATTTGGGCGCTTCTCAAACTTTAATGAGCACACCAATTATTGGGGCATCTTGTTAGAATTGAAGCTTCTTCTTCTTCTTCTTCTTTTTTTTTTTTTTTAGGTATGTAGCTATTGCCATTTTATTATTCATATTTATGTTCTTCTCATTTTTCTTCTTAAAGAAGTCCCTTTAATATTTCTTGTAATACTGATTTAGTAGTGATGAACCCTTTTAGCTTTTTCTTGTCTGGGAAGCTCTTTACTTCTTCAATTTTATTTTATTTATTTATTTTTTTTAATTAAATCTTTATTGTTCAGATTATTACATTTGTTCCTCTTTTTTTCCCCCCATAACTCCCCTCCTCCCAGTTCCCACCCCACCCTCCGCCCTCACTCCCCACCCACTGTCCTCATCCATAGGTGCACGATTTTTGTCCAGTCTCTTCCCGCATCTCCCACACCCTTTCCCCACCCAAGAATAGTCAGTCCATTCCCTTTCTATGTTCCTGATTCTATTATAATCACCAGTTCATTCTGTTCATCAGATTATTTATTCACTTGATTCTTAGATTCACTTGTCGACAGATGCGTATTTGTTGTTCATAATTTGTATCTTTACCTTTTTCTTCTTCTTCCTCTTCTTAAAGGATACCGTTCAGCATTTCATATAATACTGGTTTGGTGGTGATGAACTCCTTTAGCTTTTCCTTATCTGTGAAGCTCTTTATCTGACCTTCAATTCTGAATGATAGCTTTGCTGGATAAAGTAATCTTGGTTGTAGGTTCTTGGTATTCATCACTTTGAATATTTCTTGCCACTCCCTTCTGGCCTGCAAAGTTTCTGTTGAGAAATCAGCTGACAGTCGTATGGGTATTCCCTTGTAGGTAACTGAGTTTCTTTCTCTTGCTGCTTTTAAGATTCTCTCTTTGTCTTTTGCTCTTGGCATTTTAATGATGATGTGTCTTGGTGTGGTCCTCTTTGGATTCCTTTTGTTTGGGGTTCTCTGCGCTTCCTGGACTTGTAAGTCTATTTCTTTCACCAGGTAAGGGAAGTTTTCTGTCATTATTTCTTCAAATAGGTTTTCAATATCTTGCTCTCTCTTATCTTCTGGCACCCCTATAATTCTGATGTTGGTACGCTTGAAGCTATCCCAGAGGCTCCTTACACTATCTTCGTATTTTTGGATTCTTTTTTCATTTTGCTTTTCCGGTTGGGTGTTTTTTGCTTCTTCGCATTTCAAATCTTTGACTTGATTCTTGCGCTCCTCTGGTCTGCTGTTGGGAGTCTGTATAGTATTCTTTTTTTTTTTTTTTAAATTAAATCTTTATTGTTCAGATTATTACATTTGTTCCTCTTTTTTTTCCCCCCATAACTCCCCTCCTCCCAGTTCCCGCCCCACCCTCTGCCCTCACTCCCCACCCACTGTCCTCATCCATAGGTGCACGATTTTTGTCCAGTCTCTTCCCGCATCTCCCACACCCCTTTCCCCCCCAGGAATAGTCAGTCCATTCCCTTTCTATGTCCCTGATTCTATTATAATCAACAGTTCATTCTGCTCATCAGATTATTTATTCCCTTGATTCTTAGATTCACTTGTTGATAGATGCATATTTGTTGTTCATAATTTGTATCTTTACCTTTTTCTTCCTCTTCCTCTTCCTCTTCTTAAAGGATACCTTTCGGCATTTCATATAATCCTGGTTTGGTGGTGATGAACTCCTTTAGCTTTTCCTTATCTGTGAAGCTCTTTATCTGACCTTCTATTCTGAATGATAGCTTTGCTGGATAAAGTAATCTTGGTTGCAGGTTCTTGCTATTCATCACTTTGAATATTTCTTGCCAGTCTCTTCTGGCCTGCATGGTTTCTGTTGAGAAATCAGCTGACAGTCGTATGGGTATTCCCTTGTAGGTAACTGAGTTTCTTTCTCTTGCTGTTTTTAAGATTCTCTCTTTATCTTTTGCTCTTGGCATTTTAATTATGATGTGTCTTGGTGTGGTCCTCTTTGGATTCCTTTTGTTTGGGGTTCTCCGCGCTTCTTGGACCTGTAAGTCCATTTCTTTCACCAGGTGGGGGAAGTTTTCTGTCATTATTTCTTCAAATAGGTTTTCAATATCTTGCTCTCTCTCATCTTCTGACACCCCTATAATTCTGATGTTGGTACGCTTGAAGCTGTCCCAGAGGCTCCTTACACTATCCTCGAATTTTTGGATTCTTTTTTCATTTTGCTTTTCCGGTTGGGTGCTTTTTGCTTCCTCGCATTTCAAATCATTGACTTGATTCTTGCGCTCCTCTGGTCTGCTGTCGGGAGTCTGTATAATATTCGTTATTTCAGTCCGTGTATGCTTAATTTCTAGTTGGTTCCCCAATATAAGATCGAGGGTCTCATTAGTTTTCTTGTAGATCTCATTAAGTTTATCGGCGGCTTCTAAACAGTTCTTGAGAGACCTTAAAAGTGTGGTTCTGAACTCTATATCTTCCATTGACAATTTTGTCCTGTTTCTTTGTCTCCGCATTTTGTTATGCTTCCTTGGTGCACCCCCTAGTGGTCTTTGTTCGCAGTCTTGTAGTTAAATCTTGATTGTTGTAGCTAATTCCAGGGAGGGTTTGACCTCCAGGCCAAGTGGCTATGAGAATCAGCTGTGTCAGCAGTGAGAGAACTTCTGTCCTCTAGGGAGGTGCTAATCTAGCCTTTGCCTGAGGCTATCCGGCAAATGCCTGTGTGCAGGGTTTGGGCGGGGCGGGTCGCACAGGATCCACAGGGTGGGCTGGAGAGAGCAGTTATGGCGGCTCTCAGTCCTGTCCCCAGGGGCTCTGCCTCTCTGAGTCCCAGCACCTGCTGCAAAGCTCAGAGAGAAAGCTGCACTCTCTCTGACCGAAGCCAGACAGTCCCGCTTCTCCCGTTTGAGTCTGGGTCCCTAAAGACTCGCCCGGATCTGGAGCTCAGAGTCTGCGACTCCCTCCCGATTGAAAACGCCAACCTCGCCCTCTGCCGCCAGCTCGCTCCGCGCACTCCGCACCTCAGAATTTGACTTCAGCACTGTGCCTCCTCTGAGTGTCCGTATGCGTTTCTCTTTCCTCCTAGTTGTAGGACTTCCACTCAGCCAGTGTTCCTGTGGTTCTGGGTGATGTCCCTTCCGTTTTTTGGTTTCACTTTTGAAGTAGTTGTTCAAGGCAGCAAACTCCGGCGTTAACCTATGCCGCCATCTTGGTTCTCCAGTGCCTATCTTCTGTATAGTATTCTTTATTTCAGTCAGTGTATGCTTAATTTCTAGTTGGTTCTTTATCATAACATCGAGGGTCTCATTAGATTTTTTGTAGATCTCATTAAGTTTATTGGCGGCTTCTAGACAGTTCTTGAGAGACCTTAAAAGTGTGGTTCTGAACTCTATATCTGCCATTGACAATTTTGTCCTGTTTCTTTGTCTCCGCATTTTTTTTATGCTTTCTTGGTGCACCCCCTAGTGGTCTTTGTGCGCAGTCTTGTTGTAGTTAAGCCTTGGTTGTTGTAGGAAATACTGGGGGTGATTTGACCTCCAGGCTAACTGGCTGTGAGAATCCAGAATTGAAGCTTCTGATTCAGTAGCTTTTCTGCATTTCTTCCAAGTGATGTTAAAGCTGATGATATGAGGACCACACTTTGAGTAGCAAGGGTTTTAGATAATCATTGGCTTTGAACAGTACTGGAGGCAGGTTCTTATGAAGGCAAAGAGGCATCCCAGTGAAGCAGGAGAGCTGGGGTGAGTCTGTAATAAAGGCAGTAACAGCGAGCAGAATGGCCTACAAACACAGGAGGCAAAACTGGTAGAATTTAGAAAGAGATTGGTCAGGGTTGGGGGGAGGGGGTTGCAGGTGAAGGGAGTCCAAGGATGACTCCCAGCATCCTAATTTTGAAGATTTTAACTTTCTCTTTTTTTTTTTTTTTTTTGTTACTTTGATTCCTATTAATCACACCATCAACTCTGGGACCTGCAACCCATTCAAGGATAAGGTCAACAAAGGGGGGGAAATGTCTGAACAAACAAAAAGCCTCTTGAGACAGAATTTCCCCTAAGCATAATACTAGCTCCTGAAATGTACCATCAGCCAATATTAATCAGTCAAACCCAGATGGCTATTCCCTTCCCATTTCTTCATCGCTGAGCAATTACTGGGGTCCCTGGAAATGGCATGATTTGATACTGGGTTCACTCTGCTATAATTATCTAACTGCTGGGAGTCTTGAATAAGCTTCTGCCTCTTTCTTACTCCTGTGAGACTCAGGACTGGGTGGGATTAGAGACAATCCCTTGGGATATCTAAGGTGGGGAACCGAGCAGCCTGGATACTTGGCTTCAGACCTATCTTCCTTTATTGTTTTGTGATGGCGCTAGCAGCCGCACAGCGTGATCCAAAGACGCCTGTTAGAAGGAAACCAGAGTCGGAGTCAGGGGGAGTCTCCCCTGGTGCAGGCCCTGATGCATGGCCAGGAGAACAGGAGGAAGACTAACACGCCAGAGATTCCAGCTCTTCTGGTCAATTGCAAGGTGAGAGGCCTCCCAGGGCACTGGCTTTCCTTAACAATCCTGCCTGTGACTGGCTTACTTCACCCACTCTCCTTTCTGCCCTGGGTAGTGAGGAAAGGAGGGCGGGAGAAAAGGAACCTCTCTCCTAAGCCTGGACCAAAAAATGGGATCCTCTATCTTCTTTACTCTTTGCCTCAAACCATCTTCCTTCTGTGCAATTCCAGCTGTCACCACCACGACTCCCTTTCCTTTATCAAAGTATAATCTTTAAATGTGAATATGTAAATGATCTTCAGTGTGCTCTACATAATGGTGTGTGCATGGATGGATAATGCAACCCTCCTGGAAAAGCTCATGTGATGGCCTTGCCATCTCTAAAGCCATTTAACCACCTGCCAATACTGAACCTTCCTAATAAACACCCATTGCTCTTAGGCCACTGTCTTCGCTCAGCATTTCCTCTGCCCGCTTTGCAATCATTTTATGTCACATTCCACAATCTCTTAAGCCTCAAATGTTACCTCCTCCTTGAAAACTTTTGATTTCCCCAGTAGGAAATAGCCTTTCCTTGTAGGACACTTTACTGACAATCCTTTCATAGGTCTTAAGACTCTACCACACAGCAGTTACATTTCACTTCCCTTAGGCTCTGAAAAAATAGTATTCATTGCTGTGCCTTCCAGCAACATCTATACATAGTAGATGCTCAGTAAATGTTTGGAATGAGCCCTGGCTGGTTTAGCTCACTAATTAGAGCATCAGCTTGTCCTCAGACAGAAGAGTCATGGGTTCGATTACTGACTAAGGGCACATACCTTGATTGCAGGCTCAATCCTCAGCCCCAGTTGTCGTGTGTGTAGGAGACAACCAATTGATGTGTCTCTCTCACATTCTCTCTAAAAAAAAAATCAATGGAAAAAGTATCTTCAGATGAGGATTTAAGAAAAAAGTTTGGAATAAGAAAACCATGTGTTTGTGATGGGCAGTGTAACCCAAAATGTCTGTATATGCCCAAAAGAAAATGAACGTGTCTTCCTTTGCTTCCCATGGTGAACGTCTCTCTTACTCACACTTGAATTTCCCAGCAAGGTATCCCAGTCTCCTCATCCCTCCCCTACTCCAACTAGATTTCTCTAACCTGGTGGCCCTCAGCCTCCCAAGAATTCCTCTAGACCAGGGGTGGGGATAGTCTGGCCCGTGGGCCATATAAGGCCCACGAAATCACTTGGTCTGGTCCTGCAAAGGCATTAGGGGTTGTTTAAATGTTTGACCAAATAGAGCAGGCTAATTTTTAAGTTGATAATTTTGTATGGCCCTCGAGTGATGTTATAAATATCCAAATGGCCCTTGGCAGAAGAGCGGTTCCCCACCCCTGCTCTAAACAAACAGATATCCATTTCTGGTCAAATTGTTGCCAAACAGATGGACTCACCATCCCATGCAGTTCACTTCCTTTTTTGATTTTTTTTTTTATCTGAGCCAGTTTTTTCTCAGTTGTACAAGTACCATGAAAACCACTTTTAAAGACACAGTTCATTCCGTTCGTTCATTTCTGAAAGGCTGGGAAGGTGCAGGTCCCAGTCCATTCTCCTGAGACTCACTGAATCCCACACAACCCTTTTTCTCAGTGTCAGGACCAGGTTCTTAGGGTGGCCGTGGACACAGGCACCCACTACAACCAGATCTCCACTGGATGCCTCACCCGCCTAGGGTAAGAGTATGGCCCAAAATAGTGGATGGGGAATGGGGCTTCTTTTGGGAGTGATATTGTGAAATTAGATAGTAGTGAATATATCTTTGAATACAAAAACCCACATAATTGTACACTTTAAAAGGGTGATGACTCCTATGGTATATGAACTATATCTAGTTAATGGGGCTCTGACAGAGAAGATAAGGCTTTAGATCCCACGTGGGGCCAGGGATTGGGTGAAAACCCAGTGTTGGGTGGTGGTGGTGGTGGTGGTGGGAGGACGTTAGCTGACTAAAGGAATAGGAGTTAGGGCTGTAGTGGCAATAACCCTTGCTTCCCCACCACAGGTTAGGGAACAGGGACCTGGCGCCTGGACTCCCACCCCAGGTGGAGCAGCTGGAGCTACAGCTAGGCCAGGAGACTGTGGCATGTTCAGCCCAGGTGGTGGGTAAGTCCTCTCTTCATCAATAGCCCCTCTTCTCATCTCTTCTACCTTCTCTCCTGGAGATGGGAGGGGGGGGGCGGGGAGGGTGCAAAGGCGGAGTTTCAGCCCTGTCAGCACCAGACAAGGCGTCCCCAAAGGTGCTCTGACTATCCCCAATATCTGTGCCAAGATTCTCAGATCTGGGGGTGGACTGGGCGAGAAGGGGCACGCACTGACAGGAGGGCAGCAGTGACCACCGGGTACCCTCCAGAGTCTTGTTTTCATGTGGTTCCTGCAGATGTGGAGAGTCCTGAGTTCTGCCTCGGACTGCAGACTCTGCTTTCTCTCAAGGTAAGGAGGACACTAGCACTCTGGGGCCTGACCAAGGGCTGGGAAAGAGGCAGGAAGCACAGGTGTGGAAGCCTGGGTCAGGTTCCAGTGAAAGACATGATGTGGGACTGCAGCTTTGCTTCCTAGAGGTTCCTGATCTGCCCACAAGTGAAAAATGTGGAGCACTGGGTCCCTCCCTGACAGGGGTCCAGGTGAATGGAAATGGGGAAGCAGCGGATGGGTGGGGGGGAGGGAAGACAAGTAAGAGGGGCTGGGAGACAGGTTACCTGCAGAGGTAACCTCACGTTTCCTCCTCCACACCCCACAGTGCTGTATCGACCTGGAACACCGAGTGCTGCGGCTGAAAGCCCCCTTCCCAGAGCTGCCCTTCCTGCCTTTGTACCCAGAGCCTGGCCAGTGACTGCCGGCCCCATCAGTCCCCAGGGGGCAGTCCTGTGACTTAGGGAAGAGCCATGTGGGTATGGGGACATTACTACAGCCAGGTAGCTGGGGATCGCTTTGTCTGTGCCTTCTGTCACCACCCTGATCCTGCTGTTCCATTTCCCTGTCGGCCACATCTTCTCTGCTTCTTGGCAACTTCCCTATCCCCCAGGAGTTTTCCCAGAGAGGGGCCAGGATCTCAGGGCTCTGGTTTCCCTGTTCTCTCTCATTCCCCTCCAGAGAAAAGCAAAGCCAAACCAGGTCTGCAGAAAATGACACAGCGTCCTGGCCAGTGTGGCTCGCTTGGTTGGGTGTCATCCTGTGCACAGAGAGGTTGTCAGTTTGATTGCCAGGCAGGGCATACGCTCAGGTTGTGGGCTCGGTACCCCGAGAGGGACGTGCAGGAGATGTCTCCCTCTCACATCGATGTTTCTCTCTTTCCCTTCCTCTCTCTCTAAAAATCAATTTACAAATACCTTTTTAAAAGATTATACAAGGAAAATGGGGTTACAGGCTAGGCCCTGGCATGGTAGAAACTGGCCTCCACCTGTCCCCTGCCACCCCAAACCTCCTCGACTACCTTCACTCCCACATCTCTCACCTCACTTTCTGGACTCATTATCTTTCAGGATCAGATGCCCCACCTCACCAACCAGCTCTCCAGCCCGGCTGGTGCTTACTGTTCTGATTCTGCACATGCCTGCTCACAGCTGAGTGGGGGTGGGGGAGACACTGAACAGAATGATTCAACACCCTAGGAAGGTGGCTTGGTAGAGGAATGGCAGCTTACAAGGCTGGGAGCTCTGTTAGTTACCTTTTCTGAGCTTGCAAATATCTGAAGCAAGTTATCATTTGATTACCCTGTGCAAAACCTTGGCTATACCTCTACTATTTCCTCCAGATATTTGTCCTTCTCCACTTGCTTTTCACCCACTGGGTCCCTGAACTTCAGGGGGTGTGTGCAAGAGCCCTGCAGAGAGCTGCCCCCAAAGGTGAACGGGATGGAGGGGTTGTCAGTACTCAGACTTCACCTGACCAGTAGTCCTTCTTATTTCTAGAACTATCCACCTCATTAGACCTTCTTCCTACCCCTCATCTTGGGCTTCCTGAGCTAGACCTTGTCTTGTTTTGGAATCAGTGGCTTTCTATCCCCTAGCGGGCTCTAAGCCAAAGCAAAAGGACAAGGAGGCTCTTCCGGCTTCACTGTGGAGAAGAATCCAAACCTTAAGAAGCTAGATGCCCGAGTGTCTTTCTGGCTGGTTTGAGCCTCTGAAATCATGGGTGAGTGGTAGAGGAAGAGAATGGTGTAACTAGCCTGACCTAGGGAACTGGGACCTTAGGCTGGAAACAAAATCTTGAGCGTGGGGCAGGTTAGAGAAGAACCAGGATGCAAGGAACTGCCCTGTGACACCCGGCCTTACCTTTCTCGGCTAAGTCCCCCGCCCTCACAGGGTGAGGAGAGTGGCTCACTATCACAGTGTGATAGGACCCTGGTCCCTCACTGCCTGGCTCCATGGCCTCCGCTTTCCTGGTCTTACCCTGCTCCTTTCACTTCTGCCTCCTGCTGCTTCTGTAATTGTAGACAGACTGCAGACCCCTATGGCTGGCCCTCAGCTCAGCTGCCTCTCCATTTGAATAAACACCTGTTTCTCTACGGTGATGTCCTCCTTTGTTCTTCTTCCATGCCCACCAGAGCTGAATGATAACTCTACCCTTATTCCCTTACAAAAGGAAATGTGAATGTGGACCCTTCCCCAGCATGACGCCTCAGGCTGGGGTCAATAAAATTGAGAGCAATAGCTTTCAAACTCCTTTGAACATAATTTAAAGCAGGAAATACAGTTTATATTACACTCAATATACACATAGAATTATAACAAAACAATGTTTTCATATACTGTGAGCAATATACTTTATTTTTCATTCTATTGTATTCTATTTCATTTATTTAAAAAATGCTGACCACATCCCACTAAAAGATTGCAACCTACAATTTGAAAGATACTGATTTAAAGCACACAGAATTAAGAGCAGAAGGGATAGAAATGGCCCACGATAGAATTCTGATTATGGTCTGGATCATAAATCTGCATCAGGTTGTAAATGTCTATTGTCTGATGGACAATAGGTGTTTCTGTGGAAATGGGGGGTGGGAAATGGAGCGAGGCCTAGGAAACTGTTTGATACTTGAAGAACATGGCAAAACGAGAGGCTGCTGACCCAGGTTCTTTGGAAAATAGAGCAAAATCATCTCAGGATTGCTGGGGACACAGAAAAACCAGACTGTGAAATGCCCTGAAAGGCCCCTCAATAACAAAGCCGACAGTTTGCCATTCTTGCAATAATCGCCACTGTCAGGGACCTGGAGCTGTGACACGAAGATGGAGCTTCGGATGGGGCAGAGGCCTTACCTCACAGCTCCACTGGCCCCGAAGCCTAGTTTCCTCACAAGTGTCAGTGCCACACAAAAGATTGGTGCTCCTTTCTCACAAACAAGTCTGTTTTCCATACGAGACTGGGGAGTTTTGGGGAGGGGGCAGTCCCAGATGATGTGGAATAAGGTCAGGGTCCTACAACTCTGCTGATGTGATGGGTGAGGTACACAAGAAAATGGGCAGACAGTCAAGTTGTCTCTTCTTTCACCGAGAAGACCATGAGATCTATAGTTCACAGTTACCCTCGGGTTGCTGCCATCTGTCCATGCTCCTCTGTAGTATACATTCCCTCTCCTGCCAATACCATGGACACCTTGGGGGTAGAGAGGTTCAGAGGATCCTTATTCAGCTAAGAGGGAAAGCCCCGCTAGGTGGGATCCTGGAGGCTTGCAGGAGCACACTGTGGTGGCTGGTCAGGATGGTAGAGGGTTTGGTGAACCAGGGTGCGGGCTGCTGGGAGGTCATCAGGATCTGAGGGCAAGAAAGGGGCTGGTAAGAGGCTGTGGCTCTCCTGGACCCCCCGATTTTCTAACCCTGCAGCTTGCTGGGACTCACCCAGGCCCAGCTCCTGCAGCAGCCCCTGGTACTCAGGCTCAGCCTCTAGCAATTTCAGCAGATTGGTAGACTCCATCCGCTCAAGCTGCACCTCCCAGTACACATAGATCTTCTGGTTGAATGTGACATACACGAGGCAGGGGTTATTGCGGCCCTCTTTGCAGGCATACAGGCCTGGGAGTTGGGTGGTGAGACAAAGGTCCAGAAGTTTCAGTCCAGTGGTGGGAAGGCAAGAACAAAATACAAGTCAGCAGTTTTGACCCTCCCACAGATGCCAAGCAGAAAACTAAAGGCTCTCTTTCTAAGTCTTCTCTGATGGGAACTCAGTAAAATAGGTAAAACAGAAAAGATCTGGCCCCATTCCAGGTATAGAAAAACTATCGTACAAAACCCAGGCAGAATAGCATCCAAATATGTGCTACTTGATTTGACTAGTCTTGCTAATCTAAGGGGTAAATCAGCAAGATGTAACCAGAAATCAGCAAGATGTAACCAGAAACTAAGGTTTCTCTGAGGTGGCAACTCCTGTGCAAAGGCCCTAGAGTAAGTATGCCAGCGCACTGCTCAATTCTTCTCACTTCGGTAACCACACGTATCTCCATGTCATCCCGAATGCTGGTTTCCAAGGTCCTGACTGGGAACTAATGGGAATGTCCTAGGACAGCGATTTTCTACCAGTGTACCACAAGAATTTTTAAAACATGCAATACCTGACTATTTAGTCAGGTGCACTGTTCTCTTTTCTCTTAGATTGTGAATAAAAAATGACAGCAGCCAGCACAACAGCTGTCCAGCGTGAAAGAATCAAAATTATACTTTTTTTGGTCAGAATGGCAAAAAATATATTTTTTCATGTGCTGCAGGATATTAGTGATTAGCTTATTAGTGCCATGAGAGGAAAAAGGTTGAACATCACTGGGCTAGGACCATGTTCTTCACAGAGTTTTGATATACTCAGATGGGAAAGAGCTTTCTGATGTCTTCATACAGATAGATAAGAAATCATACATTCTGCCCTGGCTCAGTAGATAGAGCATCAGCCTGTGGACCGAAGGGTCCCAGGTTCGATTCTGGTCAAGGGCGCATGCCTGGATTGCGGGCTCAGTCCAACATGCAGGAGGCAGCCAATCAATGATTCCCTCTCATCACTGATGTTTCTATCCCTCTCTCTTCCTCTCCCTTCTTCTCTGAAATCAATAAAAACTTTAAAAAATGAAACCATACATTCTTTAAAATATTCAGAAATAGAGATCTCACTATTATTTTTTTCTTATTTAAAACTGTAAAGATGGCAATTGAGCCTGGCTGGCATGGCTCAGTGGTTGAGTGTCAACCTATGAAACCAGGAGGTCATGGTTCAATTCCTGGTGGGCCACATGCCCAGGTTGTGGGCTCGATCTCCAGTAGGGGGTGTGCAGGAGGCAGCTGATCAATAATTCTCTCTCATCATTGATGTTTCCATCTCTCTCCCTCTCCCTTCCTCTCTGAAATCAATAAAAATATATTTTTTAAAAAAAGATGGCAATTGAGTACTCACCTATCACCCTCCAATGAAAGAGCTAAGGAACTCATTTGTTTATGAAGATTCACATTAGGGGACACACTGAGAATGGAAATAAGAGGCAGACAGTGTGTTAGAGGGGTGTGGGGCAGGGGCCCACCTGCACAGAAAGCTCGGACATTCTCATCCACTTGGAAGCGGACGACTGTGCGGTTGTGATCAATGATATACGTCTGCCCGTCCCAGGCACAGGCAACCACCTCCTCGTGCCCGTTGCCCTGAAAAAGGTCAGAGACAAGATTGCAAGGGGTGGCCAGGAGCCATTTTAGAAAGAGATCTAATGACAGGGCTGGATAGAATACTGTATAAGGAGCTGTGGACTTGGCTCTGATGACAAACCACCAGCTGGGAAAGAAGACAACCATATGTTTCTTACTGAATTTCTCCCATGCGCCAGGCACCAAAGAGGCTGTCAAATGAGCCACCTCACATAATGCTCACAACAACCCTGTGAAGTGGGCAACATTACTCCCAGTTTGATACTGAGGGAACTTCAGCTTATAGAAATAAAGTCACACACTCAAGGCCACTCAGCTGGGAGGTGGTGGAATCAGGCCTCCGACCCAGGCCTGTTCTACCTGACCTCAAAGCCTCAGGCCTTTTCTCCTACCATTGGGCCTGCATGACGGCAGCACAAAGAACAGCCCCCGTTGAGTATTCAGGAGCCATAGCCTTAGTAAAGACAGACTCACACAGGACAAGAAAAAACATACATCTGCAGTTGGGACTGATGACTAACTTCTAGATCCAAGGGATTATCTGTTTCTCTTTGGAGCGATCACTGCTGCTGAAAGAACTAAAAAGAGAGATTCCCTAGAGCACAGAGAAAAGTGCTCTGCATGTGGAATGGGGATGGCTCACTTCAAAGGGAGTAGGAGCGGTCTAAAGAGGGCCTTAAGATAAAGGCTGAGCTTGGCTGGTGATGCTCAGTGGCTGAGCATCGACCCATGAACCAGGAGGTCATGGTTCGATTCCCAGTCAGGGCACATGCCCGGGCTGTGGGCTTGATCCCCAGTAGAGGGCATACAGGAGTCAGCTGATCAATGATTCTCTCTTATCACTGATGTTTCTATCCCTCTTTCCCTCTCCCTTTCTCTTTCTGAAATAAAAGATAATATATATTTTTTAAAAAGGTTGAGAGTTAACTGTGAAGTGAGAATGGCCTCACTGAAATCTTATCTCTCCATGTGAAGAAGGTAAGAATGTTCCTCTCCACCAGGTGTTCCACCCACCGTGACATCCAATTTCTCTAGGGCGAAAAGCTGGTGGTCCACCTGCACTGACCACAACAGCTTGTCTGCTTCCTCCATAAGCTTCAGTGTCCCTGCAGGAGGAGAGGCAGGTGGATGGGTCAGGCAGGATCCCCCAGGCACACAACTGGCCCATAGCTGATCTGGGGAACTCACCATCCAGGGTGCAGAGGGCAAAGAGGCCAGAGCCACCACTCTCCGCAGTGTGGCCTGTGGGTAGAAGGACCAGAAGAAGAAAATGTGAGAAAGGCAAGAACAGAGCACATGGGGCGAGGAATGGCCAAGGGCAGGGAGGGAGAGAGGGAGGGAGGGAGGGACAGGACTAGAAATGAGAGAAAAAGCTGCATCTCCTCTCCCAAAAGTAATGTTTGTCCTTAGCAACCTGCCTCGTTTGATGTTGCCGATGAGGTGAGTAGAGACATTCTTGTTGTGGATGCGGCCGGATGTCTGGTGCAGCACAACATCTCGGGCAGCCGGGGTCTCCCTGTGGGCAGGAGACTGGGGGACTAAGTGGGAGACCAAGTGAGCTTAGTGCTCCGGCACCTTTGTGGCCCCGTCTCCGTAAGAGCTACCAAGCTGTGAATCAGCTGGGAAACCTATTGCTGACCCCGTCTGGCCCATGTGTCAAGTAGGAAACAGGGATGGAGCTATCAGGCTACCATCTTGGAACCTCTTCCAGTTGCTACAAGGTTAGAGCCAGGATTCCCTGGGTCCCAAAATATAGGTCTGCCCTTATTAGGAGAGAGGTGCTTGTGCCGTTCCTAGCTCAAGAAGCTCTGCCAACTGTAGACCTCCCATCCATTGCCGTGGACATCTGGGACCCAATCTTGCTCCCATGT